AATAAGAAAGAGAGAAAAATATAAAGAGAAAGCTTTGTACCTTTAACAATAACTACACTTATGAGATTCAACTTTGTAACAGGAATTTTGAATCGAACAATGTAACCAAAAGGGAAGTCTACATTTTAAGTGAATCGATTGTTTGAGTTAGACAAAGAGAATGGAAACATAATAATCCTTGAATCGAGAAAAGCTTGTATACCTCCTTTCCTTTTGATAAGAGCTTGAGTTCAATTCATATTCAGCTTTTTAGTTGAATAGATTTGTTGTGTAGTATTGAGTGATTAGAACGAATTGTTGGTTGACACAACTTGTTTAACGATCAAAGAGAAACAATAGAAGAGAAGAAACGATAATTGAAAAGTTGAAAAGTGGGATGTTTATTGTTTGAGATGAGAGCTTCAGAGTCGACTATTTAAGAGAAACATATCAATGACGTCATTCAATCATCCGTCAGCAAACACACAGTTAGGGCAGAACATTGATCAGCACAAAACAACATGACAGGGCAAGGCACAAATAACACATCAGAGCTTCACAGCAAATCACCGGTCATCTTACTAATCATAACAAACTCGGCCATCTTTGAGATCTCCACATGACTGGGTTTTCAATGGTAGCGCAATGCATCACTAGATTTGTCACACATCTCCCACTGCTTGAATCACTCAAGCTCAGATATGTTAACGTTGAAGACAGGAGAGATGTTGGCAACCTTGCTAGCTGTCTTTACAACCTCAAAAACCTCAAATGCCTTGACATGGAAGACATGGATGCCATAGAGGCCTCTTGGGGCTATCATGAAGGTCCCCCTCGGTTAGTAGATTTTGTGATTCACAATTGTACCCGCCTTCAATTAGAAAAGACGCCTTGGTTTATCAGTTCTTGGGCGCCTCGTCTCACTCGTCTAGAACTCCAATTTGAGGAACCTTTCAATCCCTCATCAAAAGAGTCTAAGGAACTTTTCAAGTTCAACCCAGAAAGCAATAAATTTTCACTCCAGGCTTTAACACATCTGCGTATATTCTATCATTCCATGTGTGACTATATTCAATGCTTCTCAGATTGTTGAAATTCATCTCACCTCACGTTCTATCAAGACAAAAGTGTCACAACTCTCAGACTTTATCCTTGGGAATGTATTCCCTAAGCTCAAGGTGATAACTGTGCCTATAAAATATGAATACTTTCCGATTGATCCAACTTTGGCCTCTATGCTATTTCCATTGGACAAATTCTGCAAGTCTAACGGAATAGAATTGAAGGTTAGACTCTGACCGTATTGAAGCCATCGATGTCCGACGGAATAGCAGAAAACCTTGCAATCCGTTTAATTCTTCACGAGCAAGCCTATCTGGACACGGAAATGGGGGAGCTACCACTTAGCACTGAGGCCCAGTATAAGTTGTGTCCAGAAAGTGCGAGACAACAAAGTTATGCAACTCCAGCATTTGAATCTTCATTGAAAATGCCCTCAGAGTCTTAAATTTGGTGTTTTCCTTCCTCTCGCGCCTGAGCCCAAATCATAAATTTAATGCACCAATCAGTTTTTATGCTTTTTATCCAACTTACTACCACATTTACAATAGAGATGAAGGCCTCCAACACTTGTACCCTCCGATTGTAATCTTATCCAAGATTGCTTCGATCTCTTGATCATGCGACTGTACTTTGCTTCATATACAATTGAATTTTATGCTTTTTGAAGCAATCGATTGATTTTAGAGCAATCAGTCAATTTTTATACTTTCTAGCCAATTTACACTTCTTTGAAACCAAATCGTCCAACATCTCAAATTGATCAAACAGGAGAAGGAAAACATCACTAGAAAACAATGTGAGGGTTGAAGCCATTGTTTTTAAAATTTCATTGTTTCTGAAATTTGAAGTCTCAATGGAAAGCTCAAGTGATCAAGTCAATTATTTTGACATCTTTATCAAAAGAGTATGAGGCTTTTCATTGAAAACGTTCAAAGACTTTGTGATATTGAAATTTATTAATCACTAGAACTTAGGCAGGCTCGCCTGCCTCTATACCTGATGAACAAAGTCTTGAAGCTTATGCCATAAATATACTGAAGTACAGCAAGAAAAAAGTGATGAAACATGATCCTTTAGGGATTCCTGTGCGATTTGATTTATTTAAATCATATTTCTATCATATCAAGAATAAATCACTGTCTTTGAAAAAGACAACTCCAAGAAGCAGATAACCAAAAAAACAGACCAAATAAAAAAATATTTCAAAAAATGAAAAATCAATTTTTCAAGTCCAAAAAAGCAAATAATACCCAGTGTTTCTATACAATGAGCAAAGGAAACTAACTTTTAGAATGTGAAGAGAAAAGTGTAAAATATATTCATGAAAACAGAACATAAAAAAGAGGAACTGGATTCCA